TTTTCAGTTACAAGGTTCAGTTTGTATTAGCAAAAATCCTACCAGTTAAGTTATTTTATATTTTTTTTTTATAACTTGTTACCATCAGCATCCTAAAAATATTTAAGTTCTATGCTCTGGTTCTTATGTAACTGTTGTTTACAAACAAATGACAAGTCTCTGGAAAAGCAGGGTGTGTGCTCTGAAAGGCAGTTTTTGCTCAAGAGAAATGACACCACTGGCTACTTTAAATGATGCAGTTTAAAGAGTTACCTGAAGTTGATGAGGTGATCAAATTGATTCAAATTGGTTTATAGCCTGAGAACTTTTAACTGTTCAAAAACTTCAGTCTTTGGGCTCCTGACATCTAAAAGAGAAATAAGTGATGCCCAGGCTTTGAAGGCTCCTTGTGTTGCTGTAGGTGAGCAGTGAGTTGGTTTCTCTGCCCCAATGGGTGTTTGTGCATCCTGCCACTTACTGCAGCTCCCTGGGAGTCCAGAAACCCTCTGGGAAATGTAAATCCATCATTGCTATTGGAGAAACCAAGTGAAAGCATCTCACTGGGTGCTTGTTTGGCAAAACCCCCTGGTAAGTGGCCGTGTTTGTGGAGGTGAAGTTTGTGTCTCAGATGGTGATGGCAGCAAATGTAGCCGTGGTGAGCACGAGGAAGCCTCTTGTGAAATTGTATTGATGGTTCTTTAAGGCTGAAATGTCCAGTTCCCAGTGGGCCATGGGCTCACCCTTCCCCTGTAACTGTGTAGCTGTCATACCCTGACACAAAATGTTCTTGTGAGACACACATTGTTAGCACTGGCATCTGTTGGGAAGTCTTGCTGCTTCCAACTGTCCTTTGGTTTCAGTGTATCCTCCTTTCCTCTTGTTGCCAATTGGGTTAACACCTGTTTTCAGTTCCCTTGGTGGAACTGTTTTTAGTCCCACTGCAGAAGGTTGGTGTCAGCAGTGGGCTCTCAGAGTCTAACAGAGCTGTAGCTGCCTGATACCCTGTGCATTGTGACTGTAAACTGTTCCATGCTTTTTTAATGTTGTAGTGCATAAAGCACCAGTTCAAACAGCTACAGGGAGGGGGTACTCCTCCTGCAGCTTGGAATCCTGAAAACCACACAGAGAGAGCCTCTCTCTGTCTGGGAGAGGGGACTCTGCAGCTGGAGCTCCTGTCCTGCATGGAAGAATTTTCCCTTATCCTGTTAATCATTAACACTGGAAAAATAGTGAAAGCAATGTTTCAAAAAGGCAAGTAATGAATTGTTTTTTCTGTCAGTCTTCATACATCATACCTTTGTATAAAATGTACAGAGCAAACAATAACATCAGTGGTCAAGCACTTAAAAGCAAATTCACAATGTTTAAGTCATTGCTGCATTTATCAGCTTAACTGAAGTTCGGTCTGATAACTTCACTTTACTGTGGTTTCTCAGTCCTGTGACATGAAATACAAAAAGGTTGCATGGGAAGCCTTTCAGTGGGTCAGCTCCCTGCCTGGCTCACACCTGGCTTGTTTACAGGTGTTGAGAGGATGTGGTGGGGGTTTCCCTGAGCACAGAACCTCCTGTCATAGGCTTTGTTTGACTCTGTGTTTTCACTTCAGCAATTCGTAGCAGGGTTAAGCTGTTTCAGATGCCAGCTGGATCTTTCTTCCCGTCTGGACTTCATAAAAAGTCGAAACTTGCATTTTTTGTCTTCAAAAACAGCTGAGGTAAATGGCATTCATTTATGCTTTGGCGTTTTTTTGGTATGTCTGTTGTTCTTGGTATTTAAAGCAGGTCAGGGTAGTGTTTAGAGCATACCTTTAACAGCATTTTGGAATTTTTGCAGTTATTAAAGAACACAGTCTTGTGTTTTCTTTCCCTGCAATAGTAATATATTGGTTTCAAATTAATTTGGGATTCTGTTCAAATTTGAACATTTTTCTCAGCACTGTTACGAATTGCATTTCATGTTTATAGTGTAAAAACTGTAGCATAATTTATGTATTTGATACTTTTTTATATGTTCACTTCCAGTGTTTCTCCATATGTTTTTTTTCCCCCCAGGGCTTGCTTTTCTTGGTCACTGAGGAACTTGAAACACCACTGTCTTTAGTTAGAAGTGTTAAGTACTTGCTGTCAGAAAACAGACTGGAGTTTCTCCTGGTTGCAAAAAACATGCTACCATGTTTGAACACATTTGGAGACAATAATCTTGAGGCAGTGCTTACAGCAAGAGTGAGGTAAAGGTTTATTCTGTGCAACCTCAGCTGATTCAGATTGAGAATTTATTCCCCCTCTTGCTGGTGTTTACAACTACTCCGTAAGCACTTGTGTCCCTCAGTCATTTAATTACTCATTTTGTGCTGGCTTAACTTCAGCTAAAAACGTCATTTGGGACAGTATCAGCAGCTCTGCTGAAGCCAGGACAGTGAGCTGCTGTCCAATTTATGCTCATGCCAGCCAGCCTGTCAGCAAAGGAAGCTGGAATGGCTCCACACAGCTGTTGGTAGCCCAGTGAGCCACCTGCTTGGCTTTTCCAGGCACCATCACCCCCTGGGAGCTGTCAGGACTCCAGAGGATCCCAGACCCCCTGGCCTGTTCTGAAAGGACAGGTTTTGTTCCTTGCTGCTGGGGAGGAACCTCCTCGTTCTCCACCTTCTGAGAACTGAGTGTTAAAGGGTTTGGTTTCAGTTTGGCCCCTTCCTTCTGGTTCTGTCTTATGTTGCACTGAAGCTCAGAGCTTTTATAGTGTGTTATTGTATCTCACTGGCTAAATAAAAGCCTAAAGCACTGCACCTTTAGCTGTGAGCAGCACTATGGTACCAGTGTTACAGTAGTTACTCTTTTTTTACTTGGCACCAAATGCTTTTGGTAGAGCAGCACTGGAACCCACTTAGTCTAAGGGTAGGTCATTTAGGAATCTTTGCATGTGTTCTAACAGAAAATCCTTTCAGACTACTAGCAGTTTTCTTCCTTTTGGAAAAGAAAAAATTGAATATTCAGTTAGGAGTAGATTAGGATTGAAAATACCAGTACATAACTGATTCTGTTGAATGTGAACTACTTAATTAAAAAGTTCCTTTTTTTCTGAGAAATCAGAGCTACTGCTTGAACACAGGGATGAGACAGCAGAGACCACTTGTTCATTGGTAATTAAACATACTGAGAGAATTTACATGTTCTCTCTTGTTGAGGCCACAGTTCTAAAGGCATGACATGATCACAATTTTGTTTTCTTGCTAAGAGTGCTGAATATTCAATTCAGGTTTTGGGCATCTCAGGGAGATAATTCCAGCTGGATAAAGCCACATGCCTTGACTAAACCTAGTGATGTTGTGCAGACTTTTCTTAGCTGAGGATCTGGCCCTTCACACTATGAATGTATTCAGAATTGTACTTTGTTAATGCTGCCCTGTTTCCTGTGTACCCCTACTGCTGTATGTAATTAATTTTTTGCATCATCTAATTTGCAGCTTGTTTGTAGATTTCAGCATAAAAATAATTTTCTCTTTAAGATTAAGTGGGAACTTATATTGTGAGTTTATTGCATTCTGTAACTTAAAGGTTTACATCCCTCCAAAGCCATTTTGTCTGCTACCAACTGCTGTAATCCTTTGAGTACCTCCAGCCATCTTCTCTTTCTAGGATTTTTATAGTTAAACAGAATGGATTTTTATTTTTGTAGCTTGTAACTTCAAATATGTATAGCAGTTGTTTAGTAATCAGTGATCAGAATACTGTAAAAATGTTACCTTTAAGAGCTGTAACTTTAAATTAGTAATAACTACTTACAAGAAAATACCAGCATGTTAGCAGTTAAAAAATGAAAGTTATTCTTTAGCTTCACATACTGTGATGCTGCAACTTGGGATTTGCACTGCATGTGTTTATCCATATATTCTGACATTGCACTAAACAGGAAAAATATGAGCTTAGAGTGCAATAGGTCAAAAAATAGAATTTGTAACATCTTAGATTTTTTTCATCTGATAAAAGTAACATTTGGGATTCAGTATTTTTTTGTTTCCCACTGAGCAGTAAGGGAGGAGTGATCAGTGGACTCTTGACAGATCAGTTGTATCCTTATGGTGCAGTTTGAGATCTGTATTTAGTGCTCAAACATAAACAGACACCGTCTGCATCATTCCTGCCTCTCTCCTCAGAGAACAGAAACTCAGAGCAAACCCCACTGCTGGCAGCTGTACAGTATGTGAGATCTTACTTGCAAGGAAAGAACCAGCCACCATAATCTTGAACCTCCAAAATAAACGTTTAAATCAAACTTTTCCAATTTTTCCTTGACATCAGCTGACATTTTCAAATCCCAAACTGGTTTTCCTTTGGTTTTTAAAAGGAGGCAGGCTGAAATGGGAGGATGAGGAAGTATTGCTGTAAAAAGTCTTTGTCATAAAAGCTGGGAGGGCTGTTCTTTATTTGCTGCAGAGGCACAGGGACTGTGATTGTGTCTCATAACAATTTGTGACGTGTGCTCCAGTGTGTGCTCCAGTCATGACACAGGCTGATGTGAGGTTAGAGAGCTTGGGGCAGGTTCTGTCTGTGAGAAGCTGCAGCTTCAGCAAAGCCACAGAACTGCCCCATTCTGTGGACACAAGGGAGACTGAAAACCTCAGTGAGTTGTACCATGGCCTGTCCCTGTGACTTAACGCTCCCAGAAGGCTCTTTTGAGAAACATCTGCTCCATATTCATCATAGAAGTTTGTAAATACAGGTTTTTCACAGCACTGACTCTGTTACTGAATTTCCTGTTGCATCTTTTTGTTGTCTTGTTGTTTGTACTGTATTTCTCTGTAGATTTAAGTGTGTGGATTAAAGTATTTAAACTCGGATTCTTTTATTCCTCACTATGCATGAAAGCAAATATGATTTTTCAACTCTGTGACAACCCCCGTGACTGCCTGGCTTTGCAAGGGCTGCAGCAGGATGAGACCAGGGATTTTAACAACAAGATTGCATTTTGTTGAACTCTATGGCTGTGTTCCTGCTGGAAAGTCGAGGTGTTTCAAACCCCGATGCATGGGGAAAATTCTGGAAAGCGTGGTAATGTCATTGGGAAGTAAATCTAACACTGGTAACATGCAGAGATTTGTCTCAGCAGCTGCTGGTTCATCCTTCACCCCCGGGAGAAGGTGAGTTTGTGTGGCTTTAGAATAGATGTGGTTAAAGTGGTGAAGCCCCCCAGGCTTCAGCAGGGAGGTGAAATGTCCAGATTGTTCCTTCTCACCTCTCTTGTCAGTGATTAGGGATCTTAAAAACAGCTTGTGACCCTGCCCACTCTTTATTTAGTGTAAGGGGGGAAAGTCCTACAGATGTCCTACCTGTAATGAGCAATTTCAAGTAAGAGTTTTAACAGGAGATGTTTTGGTGTCATGTGGTGGTAATAGAAACTGGAGATGGGGTGGGAAGGCTGCTGACAGTAAGGCAGGAAAACCCACCGGGCTTTCCCCAGACAGGGGAAATGCTGCTGCTGGAAGAAGTTCAGGGATCAAGTGGCTCAATGCTTTCTCCTGATGGCAGCAGATGGGTTAGTTTGGGCTTTTGGAAGTGAATAAATCCTCCTGTGGGGCCACTTTATCATAGTGTCAGTTCCCTCCCCAAGTCCACTCTGTTCCCCGGTCTCATTTGCACAAAAGAGAGAAGGGCTCTGGCCTCTCAGCTCCTGTATTATGCCACGATCAAACCTTTTAAAGAGTATTTGTGTGTTGTTTTCCATTCAAGATGGGGTCAGAGCATAGAGATTCAGCAGGTTTTTTTTTTTTCTTAGATGGGTAAGACAATCGTTTCACAGAGCTTTCAGGATCGCTGGCACTAATGTATTTAAGCATCGATGTTTAACACATTTTAAATGTTTTTAGAACTGCTGGAGTGAGCCGTGCACAGCACCAGCTTGAGCCATGCTTTAGCCCAAGGTTGTGTGAGGAGTCAGAACACAGGTACGTGTGGGGAAGAACACGGGTCCTTAGCAAAGAGCAAATCAAGGCTGAAATTCTTTTTTGATAATAAAAGTAAAAACGTAAAGTATTTAGCGAATGAACAGAAAAGTGGTGGTGTGTGGGTTCAAGTACGATTCAAGGAGTCTAGTGTTAGACAGCTGAGGGTCTAACAGGATATCTCCTCTGACAAATCTCTTTTCCTCTTCAGGAAAATCCCTCACTGCAGAAAGGCAGCGGCCAAACTCTGCCTCTTCCCCTGTGCATCTGTGGGCAATGTGAGAACACGCTGGTAACCGCAAGGTAACAGATGGCCGGAGGGTCCCGGTGACCGCGGGCGCTGAGCGGGAACAAAGCCCCGCGGATCTGGGGATGTGCCACCCAGCCGTGCCCAGGGCCATTGTCCCCGCCCGGCCGCGAAATCCCGATTCCACGCTTAGGAGCTGCTTAAAAGAGCCTCGCTCTCCCAGACCTGCAAAAGAGCAGCTCCCCATGTCGTTCATTGAAAATATGGAAAGGGCAATGCATATAGAAATCTAATTATTGGCAGGCACAGCCCGGCTTTTAGCATGATAATCGTGGGCCCCGGAGCTTTCTTGTGCACGGACCCCGAAAGATAATCATGAAAACAAAAGTTAAAACTATTGAATTTCCATCACTCACTCAAAAGTTCGCTTTGATTATGTTGACACGATTTTTGTTTGTCCCTACGCGGCGACGAGAAACTGTTATTAATCACTTCTAAATATTTCAAAGACAAAGGGGGCTGCCCGGGCCCGGGGGACGGAGAGG